AAATCTCACAAGTCAAATAAACTATATCAAGAGACAACAATATAGGTAGGCAGGTGTGCACCAGGTACAAGCACTTGGCGAAGAAATAAATGCTATATGCTGTCGACTCGAACAGCTTTTCAACCCGAGACAATCTTGAGGGGAGCAGCGAGGGGGTTATTATGGTCCGCCCTTTTGAAGGATGCAATATATGTTTTTTGCTTTTGCTGTCGGCCCACTACAAGTTTCCGTTCTGTTCATACTGGGATGAAATTTGGTGAACAGATTGTTCGTTTCCATGTACACTCCCCTTTATTGGCATTGTCGTTAGTAAACGATTGTTTACCCTATGATGATTTTTTGTATCATAATTAGTTCTTTTCTTTCCTTTTTTTGATCAGAAAACATAGCTCCTGGTAAACCATCCGAACAATCTACTACATACCGGAATTCATGGGATGCAGGGAGAGCAGTTGATGGGGACAGAAGAGCTTATCCTTATGTCAACGCATGCGCCATTTCTACTGATAACAAAACTACAGCATGGTGGTATGTCGACCTGGGAAAACGTCTTCCAGTACACCATGTGTCAATTTTCTACAGAGGAGACAACATGCCAGGTCAAATATCAACGTCATGGGGTAAGAATAATACCCGTTTACTGGAAGGAAATATGACTGCCCGAGCAACAGGGACAACGCGAATAAAACTGCTTACTTCGGTACAAGTAAAGCGTCTGGAATAAAATGAAAGTGATTGGATACGCTTGCCCAAACCTCGACCGCCTGCTAAGATTAAAATTTATTGAGTAGATTATTTCTTGATATTGGAAAGACCTTTATTGAGAAATTTTAACATAGACCGTAATTTCTTAAAGCTAATTGCAAAAAGGCTAACGGATTGCGCTGTTTCCGACGTGCTAACGCTTTGCTTGTCGAGAGGTTAAAATACTACGTCACATTCTCGCCACATCAAAGGAGGTAGCCGAGATCGCTTCTCTCCCACGCTAAAGTCGGTCAGCTGCAATATACATCGCCGACGTTAAACGGTTTAAAAAGGGGGACAGGCAGCAGAAATCTTATTAAACAGTTGAAAAAGGGCATTATTATGCATTTTTTAGAGTCCATGATAAATTGAAGGTGATAATTTTATTTTTATAAGTGTTGCCATTTGTCTACATATACATGTATATGTCACAATTTATATTGTATTAACGCAAGCGAAAGGGAAAAAATGGAGCTGTAGAGAAGAGACGATTGTTCCTTGTTACAGTAGCTGCCTTGGGATAATGAATGTACATACACTGAGTTGGTAAAGGGACCCCCAGGAGAGGGGCTGGTGAATTTTCTGTGTCAGATTATTTCTTTCATATCATCATATAAGTCAGGGACGGATAACTTTTTATCATCCGTAAAAAGTTTGACAAGCAAAAGAAAAAAAAGTAAACTCTATTTCGGGTAGGGTTAGTTCAAAATATATTTTATTCATTGAATTGGATTGAACAGCAGACTTAGATGCCAATGATCCTCCTATGATATGTACCATTTGTGATTTTAAAACTGTTGGTGATGAATATCATTAAGTTATGGAATGCAATTACTTTTCGAAAGATAGAAAAATATTTCTCCCAAAAAGATATTGTAATAATCCTAACACTTTCAAATTCAATGGACTAATGAGTAGTAATAATATAACAATACAAAAATCATTATCAAAATTTATAAAGAACATTTTAAAAACTGTCTGTCCTTCTTGAATCCTCCGTGTGTTTTATAGATAGCTGACTACATGTTTTTCTCACTCTTTTCTTTATATATTTTCTTTATATATATTTTTCTTTATATCTTTTTCTTGACCCTTGACCGTAATTTTTGTTTGTATATATGTATATATGTACCTCTTGTACCAGTGATCTGGTTTTGAGCGAATAAAGAATTGAATTGAATTCTCTCAATAGGTCAAGGTACAATTATAAGTACATGTGATTGATGTAAGCATTGAAAAAAACAGTATGAGGAGTAGATTATCAATTGTTACATATTTAGAATGAATTCACAGAGAGAGAGAGAGAGAGAGAGAGAAAAGAGAGATCATAGAGTAAAACAAATAAATATAAAATGAATAACTTAACAATGAATAGAAAAATGATAATTATATGAATAAAAACAAAAAGAAAAAAATCAGGTGGGGGGAAGGGTTAGAAGTACCAGCCAAGGACATATTATTTTCTTGCTGATCGAGGATATATTTTTTTTTTTCGAGAACGGCCAGTTTATTTCCAATATTTGCAGGAAGTGCATGTGTAGATAGATTTACGCTTTACATTCTGCCGTTCGGTATCAACTATACTGAACATACTAAATTAATTAAAACATAACTAAATTGAACTTCAATCGATAAAATTTGAACGTCTCCCCAGGCCTTCCCTCTTCGCCATTTCTCTTGAATATATGCCTGGAGAGGGGGCTCTATTTTTTCAGCAGTATATTTCGTACTAAGTTGCAACAATATCAGAATGGCTTGGATTGATACGCGTAATCAATAAATGCAATGGTCAATGACTTCTGCAATACTTGATTTTTATACATGTACGCAAATATGCAGAAGTTAAAGTTTGCGATAGAATGTAATAATCGACCAATTTAAATATTGGACTGAATGGACTAATGGACTGAAAAAAAAAATCATAAAATGCTTTCATTGATTAATTCAAGTTTTAAATACATTTAACTATGCTGGTAATATTAAAGAAAACGACATCGGGACTGTCTAGTCCACTTTTTTTTTACCCAACAAACAAGCTGTATGTTGCAGCTGACCGACTTTAGCGTGGGAGAGACGTGATCTCGGCTACTTCCTTTGATGTGGTGACAATGTGACGTAGTATTTAAACCTCTCGACAAGCTAGGCGTTAGCACGTCAGAAACAGCGCAATCCGTTAGCCTTTTTGCAATTAGCTATAAGGGTTGGTGCCAGTGATTAATATTCAACATGTATATTTATTGTAACAAGACCTCCTTGAGTTTTTATACTCTTTACCTGTATGTATATTTTACGTGTATGTAGCTTATTGTATGTTTCGGTAACCACTGCACGAGTTAAGTTTCTCATAATATCTCTTAACGATTTCAGAATCCAACTACAAAGGCCGATTTGCTGGGTTCTTTCTGTATATTTCTAACGACACTAGTAAAGAAAATGGACACCTATGCTACCACGAGATCCAGAAAGGTTTTAATTCTCCACCACAGAACCTGACTGTGGAATGTCCTGGTATAGGGAGATATGTTATATACTACAACGAACGGGATCCTAACAAAACGTACCCTTTGCACTACAATAAGTACGCCTATATAGAGCTCTGCGAGTTGGAAGTTTACGGTAACATACATTTTATGAGAGTTTAGGAAATATTGACCATTTTCAATTGGAACGTCAAAATAAATGAATATTAATATTTACTTAAGGATGACGTTTACTCAGGTTTCAGAAATCAGAGGGGAAAGTGTAATATATTAAATCAAAATTGTTCTAAATGGATGAAATAACTAAGTTTTATCTCAATATCAATTAAAAAATTTAATATGTAAGTACTTCAAGAAAATATACAGAAACAAAACTCAATGTATCGCTATGCAGAGGAATTTCGGACTAAATTTTTCATTTTTGTCAAAATTTTTATTTTTTGCAATATTAATCACAAAGTAAAGGTTACATGTATTTTAAGACATCATTTTGCAAATTTTATATGTGTTTAAGCTCATAAATTAATGCTATGAAATTCAAAAACATGTACAAAAACCACTGCAGTCAACATATTTCAATAATTTGATCATTGACCCCATATAATATCAATACCATGAGAATGTGGGTAACAAAAGTAACCCGAGTCTTTAAATAATTTGGAGTTCTCATCATTCAGATTTTTGCAATATTTGATTAAAAATAGGGAAAAATATAAATATGACAATGGAAATTCGGACTGTAATAATTATTACGTTTATTGCCCAAACTTTACTCATTTCTTTATATGGAGCAACTCTGTTCCATTGCTATAATATACCATTATTTAAAGAGTTTTGTTGCTTGTAATATTTTGTGAGTGAAGAAATAAATGGTCATAGTGTGAACAATTCAGGTATTTCCAGAACAGAGAAATACTCAGGGGCCCCTAGCATGAAAACGAGGCCGTTGACCTAGTTATTTGAAATTTTATACATGAATCATAGGTGTTTAATGTGCAATAGGTGGTTTTTCGTTCTTATCAGTGGAATTTTTAGTCATCTGAGTAAAGGTATACCTTAAGTATAAATTTTTCTTCATACGGTTGCCAAAAATGGTATGCTGATATTGATACTGTTTCATTTTCATTTTTGTCAACATTTGCCATTGCAAAAATTGTAGAAAAAAACCCTCGTATTACAATATTATTTACCAACACCATTCTAAACACATTTTTTTTGTTTGGCCTCTCCAACACACTTGTTCAAAATGGTCCACATTTAAATCTTTTTAAACATTCCCAAGTGCGCCCCCCCTGAATTTTCTTATCCTTAATGATATTTTTGAAATTTTTAACATTTAACCTACCTACAATTTTTTTCAACCTGAGTCCGGAGAGGACAACCAGTAATGTTTTAAAGTTGACCTGGAGCCTTTTCCTCCTAAGAAAAAAGTAAGAGAGATGTAATCAGAGTTTTTTATGGTCGATACAATGACCTTGTCAGCAAATACATTTATCATTGAGTCATGTGTTGACTGACGTTTTTCATACTAATTGTTAGTCCATTATGTATGCACTAAACTGACGACGGATTTTCCCATTTCCTTCCGAACAAGACAAGGAGCACACGTCGGGTGCGACTTTTGGAGGTCCGTGTTTGCTCTGCTCCTATTTTGGTTTGTGTTATGGAATTTTGATCTCTCATTTTGTTCGTTATCTCCATATGTTTCATTATAAAAAGTAAAACAAAAAATCAAGAAAACGATATTATCTGTGTAGGTTGTGCAAATGTCGCTCAATATGGCGAAAGCTGTCACAATTGTTCTACTGGCTGCAAAGACAGAAGTTGCGATATAAAGACAGGCACATGTTTATGTTTACCAGCATTTACGGGCTTCTACTGCAACAAAAGTATGGCATTTTACTAGCTTGTTAGTGTAAAGATCTAATTATTTTTGTACTTTACATTTCAAAGTCATACGGGACACTAACTTTTAGATGAGACCTACATTATAAACAAATGGTCAAACGTACGTGAGGCCCAGGACAATTAATTTCAATAGTTTAAAATAAAAGATACATTTGACATTTAAATTAAATGCTAGGTAAAATTTAATATACCTGCAATGCTGGCAACGTGACAGTATACAGCACATTTCTTTACATGTGGGCATTTACATTGACAAGTTTAGTGATATCGATCCCTTGACAGAATATCCTGGTCGCAGTTACAAAGTCGGGCTGGTGGTTACACCTGATGTAAATGAATCCTTCTAATTAAAATGACATTTTGTATTAAAGGTTTTTTAAAGAGCATGCAATCTTGCGAAATCACAAGAAGTTCGAAGGGTTTGCAGAGAGAAGTTATATAGCAAACCTGCTTTGCATTTCGGAAATGCATTGTAAAATGCATGTAATTTTCGTTATGAACTTGATTTTAACGTTAATTATTATTGACAATCCCGAGTATTTATCTTGAGTCTAGGTTGTAGTTATGGTACCTATGGAGATCGGTGTATGGGACACTGTGGCGCATGCCGCGGCGGAGAACCATGTCATCATGTGACCGGAAGCTGCGTGAATGGTTGTGCAGAGGGAAGGTACGGGGATAAATGTGTTGACGGTATGTTCTTGTAATATAACTTCTTGCACAAGGAAATGTATCCATTTAGTTTTAAATCGTAAAATTATTCTGAATGAAGCTTCCAAAGCACATGCTTTCTTGGTTCTGTCATACATACTTTCAAAATGATAACAATGTCCCCCAAAAATTAAAATTACAAAGAATATAATGGAATTCACACAAATTAAAGGAAAGTGATTCAAGGAATATTGTAATATGTGTAAATATTGCCAAACCAGAAAATTATGATTATTTCAATGGAATAACAAAGACAACCATAAGGGTTTTTGATGCTTACTTTTTTGCAGAATGTCGGCCGGGGTATTACGGTTATGACTGTAACAGCACCTGCAGCGACACCTGTGTGACCCCGGGTCTGTGTAACAGATACACAGGGAAGTGTCTGAGAGGGTGTCTGTCCGGATACAAGGGAGATAAATGCGACTCAGGTTTGTAGGAAATAATTATAATCGGATCGATTTTTTGTCACTCACTTTCACTGAAAAGTACCGTTCACGGTAGCTCAGTCGGTAGAGCGCTCGCTCCGTGATCGGGAGGTCGTTAGTTCGTATCTCGACCGCGACTGACCTAGTCTATAAAATGGGTAGCAGCTGTTCTTTCGCCATGCGCTCGGCACTTTGAAGTGAAAGTTGCGGGTCCTTCGGATGAGACCTTAAAAACCGAGGCCCCGTGTCAGCGGCAGGCTTTGGCACGGTAAAGATGCCTCAATACTCAATGGCCCTGAGTGCCGAGTAAAGGTCAAGATTTGAAGCCCTTCACCGGCATATGGTGACGTCTCCATATGAGTGAAAAATTCTCGAGAGGGACGTTAAACAATATACAATCAATCAATCAGTCACTGAATATTGGAGTGAGTCATTGTTTTTTTTACCTCTCTGTTTGGTCTGATTGTCATTCTGTCTGTGTGTAACACTTTTGTTTCCATACGAAATTTTAACAAAATACAGCATTAGTGATATAATTTAGTACGAGAATTCCCTTCAACACAACTAACAAGTTTAGCTTTAAAAAAAAACTTAGAGAGTCAGCTAGTGGATTTTTAGCTCTACTGGTCAGAGACCAGAAGAGCTTATGCGATAGTAATGCGTCCGTCGTCCGTCCGTCTGTCTGTCTGTCTGTCTGTCTGTCTGTCCGTCTGTCTGTAAACAATTTTTCAAAACGCTACTCCTCCTACAGTTTTGGTCTGATTTTAATATAACTTGGCACACAAGTAAACTACACAAAGATACATAAAATAGTGCATCGGATTTTTATTTCGATGACCGGTGTTGCCATGGTTACTAAAAATAGAATTTTCTGTGAAATTCCTTTAAAATGCTACTCCTCCTACAGTTTTGATCTGATTTCAATATAACTTGGCACACAAGTAGACTACACTAAGATACATAAAATAGTGCATCGGATTTTTATTTCGATGACCGGTGTTGCCATGGTTACTAAAAATAGAATTTTCTGTGAAATTCCTTTAAAATGCTACTCCTCCTACAGTTTTGATCTGATTTCAATATATCTTGGCACACAAGTAGACTACACTAAGATACATAAAATAGTGCATCGGATTTTTATTTCGATGACCGGTGTTGCCATGGTTACTATAAATAGAATTTTCTGTGAAATTCCTTTAAAACGCTACTACTCCTACAATTTTGATCCGATTTCAATATAACTTGGCACACAAGTAGACTACACAAAGATACATAAAGTAGTGCATCGGTTTTTGATTTCGATGAATGGTGTTGCCATGGTTACTAAATATAGAATTTCCTGTGAAATTCCTTGAAAATGCTACTCCTCCTACAGTTTTGATCTGATTTCGATATAACTTGGCACAAAAGTAGACTACACAAAGATACATAAAATAGTGCATTGGATTTTGATTTCGATGAACGATGTTGTCATGGTTACTAAAAATAGAATTTTTTTGTGAAATTCCTTTAAAACATTACTCCTCCTACAGTTTTGATCTGATTTCAATATGACTTGGCACACAAGTAGACTACATAAAGATACATAAAATAGTGCATCCATTTTTGATTTCAATGAATGGTGTTGTCATGGTTAATAAAAATAGAATTTTCTGTGAAATTCCTTTAAAACTGTACTCCTCCTATAATTTTGATCTGATTTCAATATAACTTGGCACACAAGTAGTCTACACTATTATACATAGAATAGTGCATCAGATTTTGATTTCGATGAACGGTGTTGCCATGGTTACTAAGAAAAAGAATTTCCTGTGAAATTCCTTTAAAAAGCTACTCCTCCTACAGTTTTGGTCTGATTGCAATATAACTTGGCACACAAGTAGACTACTCTAAGATATATAGAGTAGTTCATCGGTTTTTGATTTTGATGAAAGTGTTGCCATTGTTACTAAAAATAGAAATGTGTGAAATTCCTTTAAAACGCTTCTCCTTCTACAGTTTTGGTCTAATAGCAATGGCTTCTTTTCTCATCCTTTGTTATAAGCACAAACCAGTAGAGCTACAGTCTCAACAGAGACTTCTGGTTCTTCTCCGAGATAATGTTTTGAAGAATACATGTACTAAGGTACTGAAAAAATGCATTATACCGGTATTGCATGTTTTATCTCTTCATTAAAAGACAGATATAATGTAATAAAATTTAAGTTCAACTTCGCAAAACATAATTCCATGAAATTATAAACCAATCTCATCGGATCATCTAAAGGAGTTAAATTTATGGGGATGGGGGACATGGCAGTTTTAACAATCACGCGGCCACCAAACGGAACCTCGTAAGCTTCACTATCACCCTGTTATCTAGAGTTTGTCATGTTGCAGGTTGAATCACTCAGTCAGTGCTACTGTGTTTAGACAACAAAGACACCCTTGCCCCTGCGACAAAGTAACAGCCATACCGAACACTTAATTGAGAATATCAATAAAGGGCCACTTAAATACATGTAACCAGTACGTACATTTTCTAGCACGTTTAGATTAGAAAAAATTCATTCAAACAGGTAACATGTAAGCTTTGTTTAGCCTAATCTTTGCATAATTTAAGACATAGGTATTTTATATTTAAGTTTAACTATCCTACTTTAATTTGACCCGAAGAGCTAGCTGAATTAAAACTTGAAACTTAAAAAAAGTAGAATTGAAACAAAATAAACACAATGACTGGTAAACAAATTCATTTATCAAACCTCTATAACGTAAGAAAACTATAAATCCCTAAATCTGATTGCCACAACATAAATGGTCTCATTCACTAAACAAGCTAATTCAGAGAATCTGCGTCTCCCACTTAGGAAAAAAGCATGCGCGGATCTAAAAAGAAAAAAAAAAAGGGGGGGGGGTCACGGGGCCATATGGTGGATCGAGTTATGGTATAAAATTTGATTGTAAAACACAAATATGTTTTTTTGATAATGACTGGAAATGAAATTTTTACACACACTCATACAGAGATGTGAATTTATTACCTTGAACTTTGAACGTCAAAATAAATCTATAGGTGTCTTCCTTTCAGCATAGGTTGTTGTTGTGTAAAATTTCATTTCTAAAGCTCAAGGGCTTATCGAGATATTGCACGGACACAAAGGTGTTCAAACAGACATAAGTTTGATTTCATTTCAAGAGGGGTTTTCCATAGTGAATTGTGTAAAGCTCAAGGGCTTCTCGAAATATTTCACGGAATTGAAAGTGTTACAGACAGAACTACAGACAGGGGCACGGAAGGACAAGCAGACCGAAATAAAATTATATCCTCCACTTCCAGCGGGGAACATTACAAACGAGCAAGCTAGCCAGTTGTGTCTCTTCTCGAAGTATCCGTTGTATGATTTAACAAGTCATTTCGCTAAATGGAATCGGGATCAAAATGATGTAATGAAAACGAAAGTAAAACTAATAAAAACTTAAAGAACTTCAAAATCTCTGTTAAACAATTTTTATGTCGTAGATATAAATACATAAATAAAATACCTTCAACATTCTTTACAACAGACCTTCAATTAACGCGTCAAACACTGTGCGATATGAGTTCATACAACTGTATGCTTAACTGCGTAGAACACATTTCACGATCAGATGCGAACCAGCTTAATTACTGCGAACCAGGTTTTAAAAACTGTTTGAAACTGTTTAGTAGGATTGTACAAAGCTTCTAGAAATAAATAAGCATAAATGACTTTCTTATTTAAGTTGAATTTAAATTTACAGATTACCGAGGTGTTAAATAAGGATTATTTTCTTTGTTTAATCTATACTGATTTTAGTGAAATGAAATTAGCTAGAGTGATTTGCTGCAGAACTACTCCCAGAATTCCAAAACGCGCAAACGCATTTGAAGTTCTTCGTATCATAACTAGTCAGCCCGCGGGCTGACTAAAAACAATTGTGTCAGATTTAGATGCGTCTTATTTGAATCAAGAAGATATACATCCATTACATAAAATCCGGACACTTTAATTATACTACACTACAAGAGCGTCCCCTAGAAGACTGCGCGTTGTTGCATTTAATTTTTTTTTCAAATTAGAATGTGAAAGTGGAATGTATGGGGACTCATGTAACATGTCGTGTGGCTTTTGTTTCCATGGAGATACTTGTCACCATGTCAACGGTTCTTGTTTACGTGGTTGTAGTGAAGGTTACCAAGGAGAATTATGTGACGATGGTATACGTGTAATCATTTGGAATTATAAGCTCAATTTATTCTCATTTAGACTTGCCTTAAAACTGATCAGTTATGAATTGGCTTTGCATTGTCATAACTTGCATGAAGAGAATATCTTTTTTTTTATTTAATACATATACATACTGGATGTTTATTGTACAGTGTGTCCATTCGGAAAATATGGGTTATTATGTGAGCATGAATGCAGTGTGTTATGTCAGAAGCCACGTGATTGTCACCACATGACTGGCATTTGTTTAAATGGATGCAGAGAGGGTTTTACTGGACCACATTGTATAGAAGGTAAGTTATAATTACTTTATTTACAACGCCTGTAATATAAATGTTATTTGAGAGATAAAGCTGTAAGTCTATGGAACATAACAAGCTTGATTCAAGTTTATATTATAACATTGTTTGTTTCTTATTTTTTAAAAGTTTAATTGTCACCTAACGCTCACTTCGTAAATGATCGTGTATGCATATTGTTTTAATGCCCCTCTCGACAATTTTTCACTGATATGGAGACGCCACCACTTGCCGGAGAGAGTTCATATTTAGGGCCCCGCAAGGATTTGCAGGTGCCCTATAGTAATCACTCTCTTTGTCCGTCCGTCTGTCTGTCTGTCTGTCCGTCTGTCACTCTTCCGTCTACAAATTTTCAGTTTTTTTCTAATAACTTTTTTTTATGGTTGCCCAATCAAGTTCAAATTTGGTATGGTAGTTAAGTAGGCAGAAATACATATTTTGATGCTAAGTTTGGTTCTCTATGTCTTCAGGTTTGGAGCTGGGGTGGTGGGGTAGATTCCTAAACTATGCATAAGAAAGAATGAGCAAAGAGAGATAACTGCTGAGAATGTTACTATTGTATACTTGGAAGGCTGTGCAATATAAATTGTCCTTTGGGATTAATTAACCTTCCACATAAAGAAAATCCTAAGCTTCATCTTTATCTGTCACATTGAGAGTAATTACTACACTGCCTGTGTCTGCAAATGAACTTTGTTTTGAAAGTAAGGTCAATTTTGAATGATGTGTAGTATTGTGTACATTCTTTCAAAGATGGATTTAAAATATAATATTCATACTTTATTTTGGTTAAAATACCATACACAATGATTTATGATAATTTTATTGAATTCTAAAATCAAAATATATATTAAGATATCATTTATTATTACCATTTTATTTTTTCTTATTATTTATTTATTTATTTTTTTGCTGTCTTAATGCTGTTATTTTAACAGGTAATCAGATAATAACCCCATTCTTTCAGCACTAAAAAGGTCCTTATTGTAAATTTAGAAGAAAAGGATGAGAGAGCAGTACAATTAATCCCTTGGGATTAATTATCTAGCCTGCTGCAGAAAATTTAGAGCCTTATCTTTATCTGTCACATGAAGATTAATGAACACCCCTTTGTCTGCAACTGATGTTTGTTTTGAAGTTGAAGTCAACCCTGGGTGATATTTGCATTCACTGAAGGCTTGCATTTTATAAAACACGTGCTTTAATCTTTTTTAAATACACATTTAATTTAGTTTATATATATATATATATATATATATATATATATATATATATATATATATATATATATATATATATATATAGACATGAGGTTTTCCCTGTTATATGTAAGTACAAGGTTACTATAGTATTTACAGGTTTATAGGACATTCAGGAATTATCTTGAAAATTTAAAAATACAAGTTGTTACTAATAATCTTCATGTATATAATTTTTTAAATGTAATCAAGTAAAACTCTCATTCAGTGAGCTGCACCCTTATATTTCTACCCCTCAGCGGGGCCCATGCTGACTGGTCAGTTTTCTAGTTTGTCGTATAATCGGCACTCGCCATAAAGCAGGGGGGGGGGGTATTTTTTGTGCCAGCACCTACTACGACACAGGACCTCGGTTTATACGGTTTCATCCAAAGGACCGGTCTCCACGTCCCACAGTGGGATTCGAACCCGTGACGTAAGGAGTGACTCCATACTTCGCAATTCTACAGCAGACGCTCTAATTACTGTGCCACGCGGGCGACTCGTAAATGGTCGTATATCCCGAATAGATCTGGAAATATGTCACTCAAGGGACATGTTGTTAGAATGTCATACATGTATATCTTGGCTGTCTTAAATATAATCACTTTCAAATCACATTTAGTTTTTGGGGGCTCTTCTTTTTTTGAATCTTTATTTTGAAACAAAGGCTCAGAAAAAGTGTGTTTTACTGATGTATTTTTACTCTATTGTTTAAAAGGGTTATCTGGGCTAATATACTTAGAATGAATCGATACTTTTTTATTGTATTCTTTATCTTACTCGTTTGTGAACATTAATTACGTATAATTTATGTTGCTTTCAGATGAAGGTCCAGTATTTAGCACCGGAACCACGTATATTCTGATAGGGATCCTCAGCACTCTCCTTTTGATGAACGTTGTCTGTGTTATAGTGTTCATTATTCGAAGGTAAGATCATTGATTTCTTTACTTTAAAAATATCCTCTGAAATTGAATTTGAAGTGTACTGAGAAATTTGAAGTTTTGTAGTTTTTTTTAAACTAGAGAAATAAAAACTAGAACTGTCCAATAGGGACAAATACCCCCCCCCCCCCCCCCCGCTGGGTTTTTCAGAGAAGGTGCCAATTCAAAAATACTTTACGGATCTAGAGGTGTTCACAATTTACTTACAAAAAAATTTGCAGTAAAATATAATTGCTCATCATGTTTCTTAATGAATGAAACAAAGGTACAATCAAATGAAACATCAATACTAATACATTGTTATTCCATTGTAACATTATTTTTTTATTTTATTTTTAGCTCTACTGGTCAGAGACCAGAAGAGCTTATGCGATAGTAATGCGTCCGTCGTCCGTCCGTCCGTCTGTCTGTCTGTCTGTCTGTAAACAATTTTTCAAAATGCTACTCCTCCTACAGTTTTGGTCTGATTTCAATATAACTTGGCACACAAGTAGACTACACTAAGATACATAATTCTGTGCATCGGTTTTTGATTTCGATGAACGGTTTTGCCATGGTTACTAAAAATAGAAATTTCTGTGAAATTCTTTCAAAATGCTACTCCTCCAACAGTTTTGGTCTGATTTCAATATAACTTGGCACACAAGTAGACTACACTAAGATACATAATTCTGTGTATCGGTTTTTGATTTCGATGAACGGTGTTGCCGTGGTTACTAAAAATAGAAATTTCTGTGAAATTCTTTCAAAATGCTACTCCTCCTACAGTTTTGGTCTGATTTCAATATAACTTGGCACACAAGTAGACTACACTAAGAAACATAATTCTGTATATCGATTTTTGATTTCGATGATTGATGTTGCCGTGGTTACTAAAAATAGAAATTTCTGTGAAATTCTTTCAAAATGCTACTCCTCCTCCTACAGTTTTGGTCTGATTTCAGTATAACTTGGCACACAAGTAGACTTCACTAAGATACATAATTCTGTGTATCGATTTTTGATTTCGATGAACGCTGTTGCTGTGGTTACTAAAAATAGAAATTTCTGTGAAATTCTTTCAAAATGCTACTCCTCCTACAGTTTTGGTCTTAATTCAATATAACTTGGCACACAAGTAGACTTCACTAAGGTACATAATTCTATATACTGTTTTTTGATTTTGATGAACGGTATTGCCATGGTTACTAAAAATAGAAATTTCTGTGAAATTCTTTCAAAATGCTACTCCTCCTACAGTTTTGGTCTTATTTCAATATAACTTGGCACACAAGTAGACTACACTAAGGTACATAATTCTATTTATCAGTTTTTCACTTCAATGAATGGTGTTGCCATGGTTACTAAAAATAGAAATTTCTGTTAAATACTCTCAAAATGCTACTCCAAATACAGTTTTAGTCTGATTATAATATAATGTGGCATGAAAGTAGACTACACTAAGAACATAAAGAGACTTAATCAAGGGTCATTATTCTATTTATTGCTGTTGAAAAGTTTCAATTTCCAACTGCCTAAGTACTTTTCTTTTCCTTTGCTATAAGTACAAACCAGTAGAGCTTCAGTCTCGACAGAGACTTCTAGTTTATTTCTGCATTAAAAAAATATATTGCAATTACATGTATGTGTTATGATACTCTGCAAACTGATTGTTGAAAAAAAATCATATTATACAAAATCAAATTAATCTTGATAACTTTATATCAAATTCATTTTGAAAATAAAGAGCTGGTCATCCAGTAATGAAGTGCTTTGACAGACAATAAATTACAATTAAGAGAATAAGAGAAGAGAGATCTTTAATTAGGAACCTGCTCCGATTATCTTTTCTTTAGAGGGCGCCACAGGCAAACACGGTCCTGTATCGGAACACCCTCGCGCCTTATCAGTAGTTACCGATCGAAGAAAAACGTAAACAATCTGCTGTCAAACACATGCTCGTAAAACATGCCTGAAACTTGTTGTTGTGTGCCGAATTGTAGTAATCGGGGTGGCCATATATTTCCAACAGATCCGTTAAGAAGAAAAGCATGGATACACGCAATAAAACGTGGTGAAACTCGTTTTCAAAGCTGGACTCCGTCAACTCATGCTGTTGTTTGCAGAGCACATTTTAAATCAGACGACTATTTGACTGAAACCCAGCATGGTAACAATATTTATTTATTTATTTTGAAATCTTTGATAAGCATGTGCAAAGTAATGTTAATAGATTTTATTCTGAGCAATGTTTATGCCTTATTTGCTTAGATGAAATGCACTAAAAATATCGAATCCCTTGTTTACCTCTCATACGAAGTAATCTGATAACGTTACAGACACTGCCACATGCAGACTCCCCACTGACAACTTCAATTACTGGTCATTTATTACAAACGCATTATCTTTTAACAATATAAACACAAGGCATGTCTAAAAGAACACATGCTGTTGCCTGATAATTTATGCATATCTACCAGTACAAGATACTGTGCTTTGACATTGATGTCTAATTAGCACCCTGCTTAAAAACAAATTTGACCTGTTTAGTTGAATTAATAAACACATGGGCATGTTTTGTAACATCAATTTTATAACAATAATACTTGTAATAATAAAAATATTTTAGTAAATTTATATTTGTTTTATTTGCTTTAAAAAGTTAGTTCAAATTATAAATTAATTATTTAATAAATAATCTAGTACTATGAACAAGTATTGATATATTAAATAATTTAATTCTTAGGAACTACTCCTTTAAGTAAAAGATTGAAGAAAACTGCAGTGCCAAGCATTTTTCCCTGGGTAGAGCCAAGTCCACATTCACATGAATGAGCCGACAGAGCCAAGTCCAGAGGCATCAAACGAAAACTAGCAGAAGAATTTTCTGCTTCGTCTTCCATAGATGAATTCATCTATACATCAGCTGATGATCTGCAAGTATCCGAGGAAATTGTATCTAACTCTACCCAAATTTTGGCTGAAGAAATTCAAGTCACTGTTCAGAAATCTGACGTTAAATTTTTTGATGTACAGACACAAACTCCTCGGTATCCCCCAATGAGTATTGAAAACTTTACAAATGATGATGCCGGAGTAAATTTCTATACTGGATTGGAAACTCTAACTAAATTTTATTTTGTTTTAAGAACCTTAGGACCCGCAGCTCACTGTTTGAATTATATTTATCATAAGGTTTCAAACATAAGTGTTCCTGACCAATTTTTCTTAGTCCTCTGCAAGTTACGGCGCCATACGACCAATTTTGAACTTTCAAGATTATTTGGAGTTTCCGAAAAGACTGTATCAAATATATTTTTTACATGGATTTTATTCATGAGTAAGCAATGGCAGGAAATCGACATTTGGCCTACAAAGTATCTTGTAAAATATTACTGTTCATCAGATTTTAAAACAAAATTTCCAAATACTAGAGTGATAATAGATGGCACAGAGTGTCCAATTAAAAGACCAAAGTTACCAAAGCCACAGCAAGCAACGTATTCTACCTATAAAAACCGTAACACGGTTATTGCAACTACATTTTCCATCATATGTCTTGAAAAAAGTTTTTTCCAATAAAGCAGACTTAAAAAAATCTTCATAGAATTCATTCAATTTTTTCTTCATCTCATCAATAAATTTATCATCCCTTTCTATTGCAAAGAACAAAAAGTCATTGAAAGTATACACAACAAATATACACTCATTTTTCTCTGCACAGTAAAGTTGTCCTTGGACCTGATAGTAATAGTCATGGGTTTTATTCAAATAAAATTTACTTCCAGACTGCTTAATATAAGGAACTGTTTTTGAGGAAATAAAACTGTTTCTTGCCACATATGGACACTTAACTTCAATCAAGGTGTCATCGTCAATAATACCATCTGGGGTTGCTGCTAAATGAGGGGAGTCCAGACTGACACAAATTCCACTATTGTAAACTGTGCGTCCCGAAATTTCCTGGTACTTCTTCACAGCTTCTTTTTCGTATTTTCTTCCATGAAGAATAGGTTTAGCATTAATTTTTTGTGCCTTTGTTGTTAAAAAGTCAGCAAGTTTCACCTTATCAGTTCGATCAGTTGCTTTACATATTCTCCCGAATACCGAAGAATGAAGACGTTTGCAACGTTCCTCAAACCAAAGGTCGTTGGCCGCTTGTGTAGCTGTTTTTATCATAACTTGACGTGCATTCTCCTCTGAAATTTCTGATACATTTAAAAGTTTCAAATGATTTTCACTAAACGTGTCTTTTAGATAGTCATGGTCCAGGTTGTAAGCTTTCATGTTTACAGGCTCATACAGCTGAAAAATTGGAGTCTTACTAATACCTGGGTAATTCAAGCACACATTTCTAAAGTAAGACTGGTATCCCGGATTGCCTCTAAATTCAACTGGACGAGGGTCATAGTCATTATTGCATACTTCGTCACAGCCTGGCATGTCCAACTGTCTTGCTTTCATAGGGCTTCCTTTATGGGGCTTAGCACGATGAAAAGTTTGTAACCTCTGTGTGCAGGTGAGTTCTGTTTTGTATGTCCCATGCTTAACAAAATCTGCACATGAAAAAAGTACAGCACAGACATGCTTGCAATGTGCATCGGGTCCCATGCCTGCCGCACATTCACATTGAGACTCTATAACACTTCTGTCTTTTCCTATCATAATGTCAACAACATATTTCACAGACTTCATCATTGAAGCTTTTACACTACTTCTAACGAACCAATTTGAATCATGAAATGTCACCCTCACATACTGGATAAACCCATCGTTGTACATATCCCTTCCTTTCTTATCAGTTGTCTTATTAAACTTCGACAAGAAAGTGGAAATTTCTGCCTCTGTGCAACCTGGAAAGGTCTTGTCACCATGAAGGTCCTTGTAGAGTTGTGGATCTGGCGTCATCATCATAAATTCAGGTCCATAAACATCGGTCTTAGCACAATGTGCATTTCTTCTGTAGGCTTCAAGTCTGCAATAAAATAAGCATATTTAATTCTTTTTCATGTATATTTTGAGTGAAACATAGCTGCAACAATCAGGAAATAATAATACTGCTTCATAATAAAAATGTAGAGAAGTATTCTTATTTTACTGCAAGCACCAAGCAATATGAGATCGATGTTAGAATTACCGAGGAAATTCAAGTTAAAAATCTAACACGCTAAAGTTGCAGATTATTTAAGAATTAGTTTCTTAAACGAGGTAATTCTGATATTTACTGTCAATTTGACTTAATGTTAATCTTTTACACACCATTGATAATTATTTACTGTGTTATTAATAATGTTTACTTGGATTTGCATGAAAACATCGTATGTTTATTTACCTCTCCACAAGTTCCCACTTCCTTCCTGATTTCTTTGCTCCAAACTTTTCTAACTCGTTCTTAAGTTCAGGTATAGTCATATCACCACAATTAGATGCCATAGTAAATTAAGGATTGTAACTGAAACGTGTGTGCTTTCCGATATCGTATTCGAGAATGGATGCTGATTATCCATCTTCACAGGTTTTATCACTTTTGTAATGGACCGCATTTTCCTGTGGCGCCCCCTACCGATACAAGATAAGATAACCGACTCCGGTTCCCCATTCTTGTGCCCGATTCCCAGGAGATAACTCATGGTTGATAATGAGATGCCTTAATGTTCAACTTCCCACACCAAACTCATTAATTTATCTATAACTGGATGCATGTCCAGTTATTATTCCCAAGAGACAAATGAAATTACATTATCTTCTGTGCAATGTAAAAACTGTTTTTAACACTTGATGATGTTTCTTTTTAAAAAATTTTATGAGTAGATTTAAGCTGTAGTTCACATTTTTGTACAGATATTCTAGATTCTATGTCTCAAACCTTATAAATGAGCCCAAAATGAACCAGTCAATTTAAATAAAAAATAAAACCTGTAAAATGCAGAAAAATGAACCAAAAGAGTTGAAAATTCCAGGTGCACACCTTCATATGGTGAATAATAAGTGTACAAATTTTAAGATTAATCCTTGCAATAGTTTCTGAGAAATGGTTCGGACAAAACCACAAAATAAAAATGAAAAAAACACCTGTAAAATTCAAAATAATAATCGAATCAAGATGAAAATATCAGGTGCACACCTTCATATGGTGAATAATATGTGTACAAATTTTCAGACAAATCCTTCCAATACTTTCTGAGTAATGGTCTGGACAAAATCTCGTCTACAGACAGACGGACAGACGGACATGGTGATTCCAATATACCCCCCCCCCTAAACTTCGTTTGCGGGGGGTATAAATATATATCTTACAACAGATAAAGAAGAAGATAGATTTCAGTCAAAATTCGACCCTGTATTTTGATAACATAAGGAAGTGATGTAAGATATTAAAATTCACCCTTTCTCAATTATTGAAATTCCATGCAGTGAATAATCTACAAATACCTCAATGACCCTAGGCCTGAGTGCCGAGTATTGGCAAAATTCTTTAGCTCTCCACCGGCAAGTGATGGCGTCTCCATAAGAAAAAAATTCTCTAGAGGGACATTAAGCAACATACAATTAATCTTTTCTGACCTTCGAAATGCTGATTGTGAAGTCATTGTGCATTTTCCCGTATTTTCTTAAAATGTAGCAGAAAACCATTTTCAGTGGAATTTAGAAAAATACAGCACAAGTATCACCCACAAAGATTTTTAAATAATTATGTGATTTTTCAAAATATTTTAAACAACATGTATATATCCGAAAAATGAATTGAGCGATGACTGTGGACACTATTTGATATATAAAAATAAATAACCAAAGAAATGAGTCATACTTCCAGAATTGTCATCCATCATGCCATATTCTTTAATGATTTATCATATTGTAGTTGAGCAGTATATTTAATTACAGTTATCTCTCTTGGATCTTGGATGGGGTGCGCGGTTGTCATTGACAACCGATGCTACCGTCTGGGATCCGGGCGTTTCTGTTCCGGGATCATCATTCACTGTGTTCTTTAAATTACCAGATACAGACGTTTTTAGGAGTTTGTCACCTATTTATTTAATTATCTACCAATTTATAGCATTGCTGTAATTATTTCCATTGCTGAGTTCATAGTTGAATCTATCTATACGTAAATATCACTACATTTCCCTCTCAGTTCATTGCTTACTTGGATTATTTTGTTATTTGTTGATTGATAAAATATAATTTAATAAATAAATCAAAGTCATTTATCTTATCTGAATAACTGTTTTAATTTTTTTATTTATAGTTACGATCTAGTATCTCGTGATAATCCAGAATAATTTTAAGTGGACTATTAGACCTACATGTACCAGACCACTGTTACAATATTCATCTGCTCATATTAAAGCCAATTTGACGACTTTTTATGAACATTACAGTTAAGGGCACAATACAGCCCAAATGTGTAGTTTGTCACCTATTTATTTATTTATCTACCAATTTATAGCATTGCTGTAATTATTTCCATTGCTGAGTTCATAGTTGAATCTATCTATACGTAAATATCACTACATTTCCCTCTCAGTTCATTGCTTACTTGGATTATTTTGTTATTTGTTGATTGATAAAATATAATTTAATAAATAAATCAAAGTCATTTATCTTATCTGAATAACTGTTTTAATTTTTTTATTTATAGTTACGATCTAGTATCTCGTGATAATCCAGAATAATTTTAAGTGGACTATTAGACCTACATGTACATGTACCAGACCACTGTTACAATATTAAAGCCAATTTGACGACTTTTTATGAACATTACAGTTAAGGGCACAATACAGCCCAAATGTGTAATTTCTTCTTTTATATTTTACATTCTTATATCTTACCATTTTTAATATTAATTATTTCAAAGATTTTTTATTTTAAAAAGTGAAGTTAAACATCGTATAAGTTTGAGAAAAAAGCATTTCAATACTGAAAGCTATTGAATATTATTTTTTCTCCTGACACTATGTCTTTATGTAATCAACATCTCTTTTTTTTAAATTGAAATATAGTACCTGAAGACATAACGGACTTCCATATTCCGCATGCTTAATCTAATTACTTTTTTGTCAAGAAAGAATGACTAAAATGATTTTCTGTTATTGGAATGGAATCTATATCAAACAAAAATTGAAGCTTCTTTACATTATGTTTCTCAAACGATTTATAAGATGGTGTGTACTTACTTAATCTTTTTTAAAGAAAAATGATTTATAGATGATTGTAGTCAAAGTGATCTTTAGAGCTACACACACGTATGTCTATAAATCTAAAATCTATTCATCAAAATTAAAGCGGCACAGTGAGTCAAAATCATATCTTAATTTTAATATATCTGTAGCATACAAAGAAAGAGTTATGAAAATTATGAGTATATAGCGAAGATATGACAATTAAACTGCAAGAATTGACTGCACAATATAAGTGCCGGAAAAACAAAGGTTGTATCTACCGTTTCGTTGTTTCGTATATGTCAAGGTCACGCAACTCTTATTTTTAGCTTAAACTTGTAAACAAAATTCAACTGGAGCATGCAAAGGTGAGAAATATGTTCTAACAACTTTTTTAAAAGATTAAATCAAATTTTTTGGTCTTTTTAAAAGATTAAATCAAATTTTTTGGTCTTTTTAAAAGATTAAATCAAATTTTTTGGTCTTCTTACATTCATTCGTGGATACCTGAGACCATGGTAACTATGGAAACTTATTCAACAGTTTTCTGCGCACGCGTACAATAGGGAGGAAGAAGTACCAGGGTATTTTGCAATATTTTCGTACTGGGGCAGACAGAAATTATTTTTACTTTTATTTTTCCCCATAAAAATATAATTTTTAGGTTCTGAAATCTGTAATTTTCTGAAACTGAATACTTTTAGGAATTAAACAAAATTTACAGAGGTCATGCGAAAATTCTACATTTGTCAATTTCCCCCTTTTTGCGTCACTGTGCCGCTTTAAGAGAACAATTTTTTTCAAAAAATATCACTGCAAATTTTATTGTGGATTACTGTAAAATCACACATTTTGGGGGTTAATTTTATTTTTGTTTGGGAAACAAAATATTGGTTTGTGATGATATGATTTCGTGGATGAAAAATATTTTGTAGTAATGCTTAGATATTTGAGACATTTGGTTGTAGGTCTACTCTCCCCCTACTTGGAAAACACAGAGAAATAAATCCAAACGAAAATTAGTCATTTAACAGTGTACCACCACCATTTTTTTGTTTTATTTATGAGACAATATATGTTTTAGCTCACTTAGACTGAAAGCTCAAGTAAGCTTTTGTGATGACATTTTGTCTGTAGCCTGTTTGTTTTGCTGTCCATCCGTCTGTAATCTTTTAACATTTTCAACATCTTCTCTTGAACCACAGGGAAAATTTCAACCAAACGTTCTACTAAGCATAATTTGGCGAAGATAATTTAAGTTTGTTCTGACGAAGCCGAAAGGGCCACACACTCTTCAAATGTAGTCGACCGCGTGGCGCAGTGGTTAGAGCGTCTGCTCTAGAGTCGCGAAGTAAGAAGTCAATCCTAACGTCGCGGGTTTGAGTCCCACTGTGGGACGTTGAGACAGGTCCTTCGGATGAGACCGTATAAACCGAGGTCCCGTGTCGCAATAGGTGCTGGCACTTTCTCAAGGAAAGATCAGCTATATGTAGCCGTGATCGCATGTAAGCATCCTCCTGTAGTGAAGATTCTTAACTGAAATTTAATTTTAAAATAAAAAGATTTCTTTGGTCGGGGTGGGGCAAGAAGATGGATCTTTTTTTCCACAAAGTAATTGGGAATTTTTTGGAAAAAAAAATAAAAGCCTCTCAGACAGGTTATATTTTACATTGATGCAGGTGGCATCTTCAAGTTGAATATGTTCAGGTGATCGATGTGGCCCATGGACCTTTTGTTTTTATTATTTCAGATTTTCCCGCTCAAAAGACCCCAAAGCAGACAAAAGTGAGCCTAAAAAGACACTAAGGATTGTATATGAGAACGAAAACTTCACAGAAAAAGAAAGCGGCAGTTCTTACCAGGAGTTGAAATTGAATTAATTGTTTTTGGTAATAAATATGACATGTTAAAAACAAGTGGGACGATCATGTGATCAAATGCCATGAAGGCCTGAGTAGATTTATCACGTACCAACTTCGTTTCTTCTTGTTAACTTGTTACATGTATTCATTACTTGTATATGCAATTGAGATGGAGAGTTGAATTGAAATATTGCACTTACAACTGTCCGTCTTATATTTTAAGGAAAAAGTATGGCAGAAGGTGTAAATTAGCTTGGTAATCGGCCATGCTTAGAAATAATCGAGAAAAGGGCCCGTCTTAAAAGAAATATCTTTTGAAAAACTACATGAGATAAATTTATGTTTGATGTGATTTTTATTTAAAACATGTATTTGTGAAAACGGTAATTTCATTTTGAAAAGATGCCTCTGTACTTTTATACTAAAAAGGACTTTTGGTCGGAAATGTGTGATATGAGACTCTAGACAAGCCTGTGAATACTTATAACATGATGAAATACTTTAAATCATGTCGTTATTTTAGGAATAAAAATATATTATCAGTAGACATTCACCTCAAACAAATTTATATAAAAAATGGCGTTTTCACCTTACATGTTACAAAGCAACTTAATAGCAAACGGCATATACTAGGGGTTTTCATTGACATTTTTCTTTACATGTTAGACACTTTATTTAAATATTTTGGTACTGTATATTTTGTCTTTTGTGTTTATGATACTCTGTTTATATTTACACTAAGCTTTTTAGAAGATAAATTAAGCTTAGTTTCCCCCTTATATATGTATAAAGGCCTTATAGGTAAATATAGGTATTAAATACAAAAGATTGTTTGTAGAAAAACCATTGAAATGTATTGATCAAAGCTAACATTTTTAAAAGCTTTAGAAAAATGTGAAAATACATGTATAAAATGGATCACTTGCACTATTCAAACAGAAAATCATAGCCATTGATCGACATTTACCAATAAATTTATTATCACAACTTACATTTGATATAATTATATTCGTAAAGTTTAATCATTGTGATATCGATTGCTTTACAATTACTTCTGTGTTTTTTCATGAGCGCCCAGATTTTCTTTTCAACATCGAGTTCAATGTTATCGGACGTTCTAGATCTTTCAATAAAGAGTGACATCGGCGTAAAGGGAAGGTATTTTATCACAGTATTCACAGTTGTTTTATTTATTTGTCAAATATAAATTTGATAGAATTATTCACTATGACGTTTGATTAAAAAAAAATTCTAACGCTTGTCTATCGTCCGTTTCATTGAACGATGCCAGTATCGAAAATTTGCTGTACGGAACCACCGCCAAACTCGTTTTTTTTTTTTTGTTATTTTTTTTTGCTAATTCGATATTATTTAACGAAAATTAAATTTTACTTGAAATATATATACGATAATTACTATGTAAGTGAAATCTAAATATATATTCCGGACATCACCTTATACATAATGATTCTTAGTGGAAATAATAGGAACTCTGGTGCAACCCTAGCGGTGTTTATTTGCAATATTTACTAATTTATAAGTATAGATTTCCTAATATTTTGATACACTGTATTTATAGTTACTAGTAATTCATATCTCAGCATTTCAAATATTCGATGTTTTTTTTGTATTTTCCCTTGCATATATATTTTTTTTTTTTGCAATTACTTTCCTTTTTTCACTCAGAGCTGTTGTTTGTTCCAAACTAGTTTATCGTTTATTAAATTTTTTTCCTTGCATATTTGTATTTTGTACTTAGTTCATTTACTTATTCTGTTTTGTTGATATTTTGTATTATATTGTGTAGTGAGTGTACATGCAAAGTAATAAGTCTTGTGTATAATTTACCCTTTTCTATTTTTGAATTGCTTGTTAACAAAAGATTGAATAAGACTTGTGAAGTATCGTCATCGTATACATCATATTCATCATCGTAAACCATCGTTAATTCTTAAGATTTATAATCCTGACCTCCTGATGTCCAATCTTATTATGTTGACTGACTTTAAATAATAAAATACTGATTAAATTTAATCAATTTTTTTCAAGCATTTATGGATTAAAAATAAAATTACATTAAGAAAAATAATGTTTTCAGTAAAATTCCTTTTTAAGAATAAAAAAAATGTTTATTGATTAAAAAATTTACTTCATGTAAAACATGCTCTCAAGCATGCCGTCATTTGTTTTTATTTGCCATCATTATTAATGATAATATCTCTGTTTTCAATTGCAACATTGTAAAGAGATTAATGAATTCAGTTCAGTAAAAGCATAAAAAAAACTTGATTATTTTGCCGGAAAATAGATCAGGTAAGAGATTTTATATTGGAGAATTAAATGCTATATATACAGCGATATATACAGATCATTAATTTCCCGTGCTCCAGTGTCCTTGTCGATAAATGCCCATCGGTCATTCTTGACCAGCTGTTAATAGATATATATCTATTATTTTATTATTTGTACTTAATACATTTTATATTTTGGAAACCTTTTCGATTTAGTAGGAGTATTTAAATATTTGAAAATAATAATCTACAAACAGTTGATCTGCTCCTTAAAAGACAGGCGGTTGAAGAAATCATACAATGAATACCTGAAAATGTCTCTATGTTCTCAGATATATTTATCTAATGGTCGCTTTGTTATTCAAACATTATTTTTGTTATCTTTAACTTGATAGAATTAAAAAGAATTATTTGTATTGCATTGCATATCATTTACAGGGATACCCATTTATGCAATATAATAAAATTGAATGGGGGGGGGGTTCACAGTGATAAAGTGCTAAGAGAGTACATGTAACAGCTTTGCTAACATTTTTGTTTAAATTGTCTTTGTAAACTATTTGCATTCATGAAAGTTTTTTTCCCACATTAACAATATGATTATATAACTAAATGAAAAAAAATTTTATACTAGAAATATGATTTTTAAGGGAAGAAAATTATATACTAAAAATTACATTCGGACGTATATAGTACGATTCATGGCCGAATTATTTTCATTAGCGACCAGTGTCCGTGTAAAACAGAGCCCTCAGGTCATTCGTGTCACGATGGTCTATTTATTTCATTTATTGTGGGATTGTCAATTTACCTATTTACTCTTTACTTGGCCTATTTACTCAGTCGCTTGTGTAGTGTATTGAACAGCTGCGATGTAAGGGCTGTCACGTTGATTTATTTACACCATTACCAGTCAGTTGGCTTACTCCCTTCTAAACAGTTGGGATGTTTGGGCTGTTCATGTCGACACTAAATTTAGTCTGTGTCTGTTGGGGATAATTTTTTAATTGAAAAGGGTGGGGTGGGATAAACTTATTTACAAATACTGAAAAATAATACATACTTTTTCGTTTAGTATTATATCCAATGCTTTAGATGTAATGAATTGTAAATGTGATGTTTTTTTTTTGCTGACCCCAAGCTGTTTACAATGATAATCATTCGATATTTTTAACCTGCTTTAAGGGTTATTATTTTTTCTGAAAATGGTAATAGTTGTTTAGGTTTTTTTTAATCTTAAAAAGCTTATTATATTAGTTCAATTTAAATGGTTTATTAACGAAGCTATCGAGTATGCCAGGGATTCACAATCCATAAATCAATTTTTCTAAAGTCTCTCTAAAAATTCTCTTTACGTAAAAAGCTACAGAGCTCGGATTTTCTGATTGTGACATTCGCTAATTTATTAAATGAGAAGGTCTTTAATGATGTGGGGAAGTTGAACTTTAAAAAGATTAACTTTGTCAAAGCAATTCAGGATTGTTCGGGACTTCCTTTTGCATGAGCAAGAAGGTTGAGGCCACATAAAAACGGGATCTTATATCATTGAGCCGGTCAAGGGACCAGCATTCTTTGTTTAACCGTATTGTTTATACACCGAAACCGTCGGGCGTTAAGGCAAGCTAGGGAGGATATTTTTAGAAAGAAATATCGCTGCCCCTTACTCCGTCTGCATTTGGCTCTCTATCTGAAAAAGGTTAAAATACAACTTACGTTGCAAACACTGATTTGGAACTCCTTATTAAGCAATCCCGACTTCCCAGTCTTTAATTCAAGACAATCCTGACTTCACTCTCGTTCCGTTATCCTGGTCAAGGCACCAATAATTATAAATTTTGTAAGACAATTGAATTATTATAATTCTATTATAATTTATATTATAATTATTATAATTGTCGGTTTTATCCTCGGTATGTAAAGGCTCGCACAGTGAACACAGAGGAATATGGCACATTAATTTATTCAGAAAAGAAAGTGGGTCCGCTCAAGAATTTTTTTTAATCAAATGATATCGCCTTGAAAGGGAAACCTGTTTTGGAGATTCCACTTTACAAGAAGTAGTTTTCTGTAGCTTTTTTCCGAGATCATGTCTCTTACGACTTCTGTCATTGCCTCACACATCTGTTGGTAGTCTGTTTTGTTTGCTTCAAAACTGTTATATTTCTTTACTAGGTTTCCCCAGTCCGCTTCATTTAAAGTAATATCTTGTTTGGCAGGTAGTTCAAATTGTACGTGAAATTTCAAAAGTCAATGATGACATTGATTTTTTTGGTTATAAAACATTTTGTCGTCACTCCATTGTTCAGTTTATCAATTGTTTTCACATACCAGATTTTTTATGATGGCTCATTAAATTTTGTTTCAATTTGCTATTTCAATTTGTTAAAGTTTTTCCGCTCACTGTCGGGTTTAGTTCATAAACATCTTGCAGAATTGTGCCGGCAACAATATGTGTCCGGGATAAGGGGGGATTACTTAATCCATAATTATGTAGTTGAGGTGTTTTACGAATTGTGCTGGCTGGTTCTTCTACGAGAAAAAAAATGAAAATAATAAAAAGTAATCATAATCAAACATGTTTTCCGTTAAAAAAAAATGTGAGACAGATGAAGGTCCAGATTAGAGAGGGGGGGGACTACTTAATCGATGACTATGTAATTCAGGGGTTTTACTAGTTGTGCTGGCTGGTTGTTCTAAGAAAAAAAAATGAAAATAAAAAAAAGTAAACACT